TTGTTATTTTAAATGACCAATGAAAACTCTTCTTATTTTCAGTTCTTCCCCGTGTATTTTACAGGAAGTCAAACTGATTTTAGACCGGCCTTCGGCCGAAAAAATAATCCTCAACAAGGGGGAACGCCGCAATAATCCCATCTAGTATTTGGATCCATTGTATAACACCAGGGGGCGCCTGTTAGATCGGGGTCTCGACAAAAACTCTTGGCATCAGTGAGACTTGCTTCTGGGAGTCCTAGGGCAGTTATGTCATGTATATGTGGAGACTGAACATCCCACCTCTGACAGTTAAGATTGCCAACTGTAGATTGTGTATCCCCATGGTACAGTGATGCCTGCCCAACGACGTAGCATCCTATGTGTGCTAAAAATAGAATTTTTTAAAAGAAACATTGTTTTTTGTACGACAATGTAAGAAAACAGAACAGATAATTAAAACATCACCAATTATCTTACATTTAGACGTGTCCGCCTTTCAATCTCGACAAAACAATTCATCATTATTTTTGGAAAATTTCAAAATACATATGTACAAATTGAAAAGCGGACAGTGCAGACAATGGTCAGACGACGCGGTTGCGTCAGTTGGTCTTGATCTTCACTGGTCGCATGGTTAGAACTTGTTGCGGACAATAGACTTAACGGTTAACCATTTCGAAAAAAAAATGAATTTGAAAGTTATTTAAGTTAGATAATTCATTTTGAAGGAAGATAAATAATAACAATGTTTGTCTGGTAACTTATTTACATGATAATCAGATAAACAAAAACCGCTGCAGACGATAAAGTCGCAATTATACTGACGGATTGGTGCAAAAATGTATATCTACCAACTTGACTTGTGATTTAGAGAAAAAAGTGCTGGGTTTCGAGGGGACCTGAAGGCGGTACATGCATCTCTGCATCAATCCTCTCCTCCTCGATTGTTTATATATTACATTTTGAATGTGCATAAAGTAGATTTATTACTTTGATATTTTATTAACACTGGAACGCATCAATTTTCAAGCGGGCATATGAGTAGATCCATCGACATTCTGTTAGCCAGATAGAGTCTCCTCCCATGAAAGAACGCAATGTCCTTGATGAAATTTGGTCCCACGCAAGTGATAAGAAATTAGCAACCATGACTACTCGACAAGCATAAATATCAATAAGGATCACAATATGTTTATACATTCAAGAGAAAAGGCACTGCTATTTTAAACAAGGTGCCATAACTCCAACCTTTACTTTGGATAATCATACAAGGTTATTATAATATAACAATAATAAAAAGATCAAAACTATTTACGTATTAAAGTACAAACAGCTGCACTTCCGGTCCAGATGCCATTATCACAGGTTCTTGTAGAGTGCCCGGATGTAATACTATATTTGGAATCACAGGAGTACGTGGCCGTTGCTCCGTGTGTCGTATATGGAACACTGATAGATCCATGGGATATGGTAGGAAGACCTCCGCAATCTGTTAGAAAATAGCGTGTAACACAAGTTGAACCGGAAGTGTAACATAAAAGACACAAAAGTTATCTAGTCTTTTTCTAATAACAGTTCCTACGGATTTATTCTGGTTAACTTTATTCCGGTGCATCATGCAAGCTTCCATGGTTTACCAAAGAAAGAAACCATTAGTAGGTAGTTCTTTTCTTTAAAAATTAAACAGACTTATTTATTAGTATAAATGATGATATAGTTCTCTACAATATACAGTTCTCATTGGTCATACGAGGGCTGTTCGAAAAGAATTGCTTATTGACCTCTATCTCGTGATCCACGTGGGACACGATAAAAACCATTACACACCTGTATAGGGTAATTCAATAGCTACACAACGGTGTATAAATGTACATGTTAGACTAAGTGTAAGACATACAATTTGCCATTTAAATAAACGCAGTCATTGACCACTGTAGTAAAATGGTTGGTGGAAGCGTCGACAAAAAAGATGAAATACGGGCTTACATCAAAGCTCACTCAAAACTGTGTTACTCTTTGAAGCAGTTCTCTGAACTCTCTACTGCTTATGGGCCGTGTGTGTCTTATGACACAGTTAGACGATGGAAAAAGAAATTTGAGTCTGGTGTAGAGTGCATCAAAAATGCACCAACATTAGGTAGGCCAAAATCTGCATCTCGTAACAAAATCGTTTCCAAAATAAAGGATATCATTGAAGGAGATGCCAGATTTACAGTTCGTGATATTGCACGAAAGGTATACATATCACTATCAACGGTTCACTTATTTTGAAGACGCATTTGAAAGTCAGAAAGATTTCTGCTAGATGGGTGCCACATCTGTTGACCGATGAGCGAAAGAGGCAACGGGTTAAGGTGGCCAAAAAGCTGCTTCAAATGTTTCCAAATTTTGACCAAAAAAACAGTTTGCCAATGTCGTCACAGTTGATGAAACTTGTGTCCATTTTTTTGAGTTCGTCAGAAAGGTAAGCAACAAAATCTTGACCTCTAAACACAACAAATGCCCAATTATTGCCAAACGGTATTTGAGTGCAAAGAAGGTTCATTATGCATATTTCTTCTCTGGTGAAGGAGTCGCAATAAAAGTGCCGGTGAAAAAGGACAAAAGTATCACTGGGAAGTACTATTTAAGAAACTGAAAAAGTTTTATAAGAAACGACGCCCAGTCACTGATTTTAAGCATATCCGTCTTCAACATGACAATGCCCCCGCTCATACCTCCACAATAGTTTCGGCGTTTTAGGAAAAAGAAAAAGTAACTGTTTTGCCTCACCCCCCCCCCCCCCCCCCCCCCCCCCGTATTCTTCAGACCTTGCCCCACGTGATTTCTTTTTGTTTCCGAAATTGAAATCCTTCCTTGCTGGGCGAAAATACCGTCCCGACTGGCACTTGGATCTGCCATCAATCGTGCCCAAATCAGCGTACCGTGACGCCTTCAAGGAGTGGATACATCGGCTGAAACTTTGCGATTTGAAGTCTCCAGATAGAAATAAGTAATACATTTCGAACATCTTCAACAGTGTTAATTAGTATTATAACTGATCATATAGTTCTCTGCAGTACTATATAATTTGTCAAATATTTCACTTAACAGACCTTATTAGTATTGTAAATGATCATACAGTTCTAATTGGTCATAAATTTCACTCAACAGACGTTATTAGTATTATAAATGATCATAAAGTTCTCATTGGTCATATATTTCACTCAACAGACCTAATTAGTATTATAAATGATCATATAGTTCTAATTGGCCATATATTTCACTCAATAGACCTAATTAGTATTATAAATGATCATATAGTTCTCATTGGTCATATATTTCACTCAATAGACCTAATTAGTATTATAAATGATCATATAGTTCTAATTGGCCATATATTTCACTCAACAGACCTAATTAGTATTATAAATGATCATATAGTTCTCATTGGTCATATATTTCACTCAATAGTCACATAGTTTTGTCAAAACTCGGCAATATTATAATAAATGGTCATAAAGTTGTCACCTTAGAATTGTAAATGGTCATACATTTCTCCTCATAGATTAAATCGTCATTACTATTTACCATAGGCTAGGCAATATAAATGATCGTATAGTTGTTAAAGGTTCTGCAGTATTAATGGCCATATAAAACACACTAGTATAAATGACCATATGGTTGTTAATGATCCTAGTGAACTTAAACAGGTTATATAACTCTCAAAAATTCAGAGCAGTATAACTTTTTAAACATTGTCTGGTTAACTTGTCCGTCTATATAACAAAAACCATCGTTGAAAAAAAACAACAAACAAAAACAAAAACATGCTTGGGTGGTTTTTGTTTTTGCGGAAGTTGGGTAATAGAGGTATTCGGGACATATCACCTTTAATTGTGCAGGTCATTTCAATGCCATCCCATGTCCCGTCAACACAATTTCTTGTTATATCTCCCGAGGTGCGTTCATACCCATACTGGCACGAGTATGTTGCTGTGCTTCCATGTGTTGTCGATCCTGCTGACACTTTTCCATGTGCTATATCAACTAGTGGTCCGCAATCTGTAAACACAAAAGTAAACCCACAAGGGCTTTAACTTGAGCTGTGTAATACAATCACATTGTCAAGAGTTACCGTACTTGCCACGTTTTTAATATATCTAGGTATTATAAACATGTAATTATATTATATATACCCGCTTTAAAGAAATGATAATCTATCAATTCGTACTAACAATTAGTTTATATTTTCTTATTTGCTTTTGAATAGGAAGTTTGTTTATCCAAGAGGGCTTTGGGTTTTTATCCTTTTCCTATTTTAAATTATATTCTTAAAGGGTTGAGCGATATACGTATTTAGTTCATGTACATATTGTAGTAATATTGTAAGTACATGTACGTATATCAAGCCTCTCCATCGGACTCGGTGTTCTATATTGTCATATATTTCTCTCCACAGACTCGGTGTTATATTTCTCTCTACAGACTCGGTGTTCTTTATATGGCCATATATTTCTCTCCACAGACTCGGTGTTTTATTTCTCTCTACAGATTCGATGTTCTATATTGTCATAATTATATTTCTCTCAACAGATTCGGTGTTATATTTCTCTCTACAGACTCGGCGTTCTTTATGGTCATATATTTCTCTCCACAGACTCAGTGTTATATTTCTCTCTACAGACTCGGTGTTCTGCATAGTCATATATTTCTCTCCACAGACTCAGTGTTATATTTCTCTCTACAGACTCGGTGTTCTTTATGGTCATATATTTCTCTCCACAGACTCGGTGTTTTAAATGGTCATATATTTCTCCACACACTCGGTGTTTTATATTGTCATAATTTATATTTCTCTTCACAGACTCGGTGCTCTATATGATCATATATTTCTCATCACAGACTCGGTGTTTTATATTCGCATATATTTCTCTCCAGAGACTCGGTGTTCTGTATGGTCATAAAGTTCTATTCCGAGACTCGGCAGTATAAATGGTCATACATTTCTCTTCATAGATTAAATCGTCATTTACTATTTACCACAGGCTAGGCAGAATAAATGGTCGTATAGTTGTAAAAGGTTCTGCAGTGTTAATGGTCATATAAAACACATTAGTATAAATGGTCATATGGTTGAACTTGTTAATGATCCAGATTGAATTTAAACTAGTAATATAGTTCTCAAAGATTCAGAGCAGTATTACTTTTTAATAATTGTTTGGTAAAGTCTATATAACAGAAGCCATCGTATTCAAAAGATGTCGAGAGAAAAAAACATGCTTGGATGTTGTTTTTTTTTTGTTTTTTTTTGTTTTTTGTTGTTGTTGTTTTTGCGGAAATGGGGTATTGGAGATATTCGGGACATATCACCTTTAATTGTGCAGGTCATTTCAATGCCATCCCATGTCCCGTCAACACAATTTCTTGTTATATCTCCCGAGGTGCGTTCATACCCATACTGGCACGAGTAAGTTGCTGTGCTGCCATGTGTTGTCGATGCTGCTGACACTGTTCCATGTGCTATATTAGCTAGTGGTCCGCATTCTGTAAACACAAAGGTAAACCCACAAGGGCTTTAACTTGAGCTATGTAATACAATCACATTGTCAAGAGTTACCGTACTCGCCACGTATTTAATAAATAGAGGATATTGAATAGGAGTACGTTCAATACTGAATTTATTGATCGAGTTGAATAAATTTTTATTATGCGAGCCTCTGGTGAGTTCAATAAATTAAGTAATGACCATACACGAATATTATATTCTATTTATCACATATCCAAAATAAAAACTGTTTAAAGTGCAAAAGAATCATCTTTCATTGACGCGCCTCTAGGGTAACGATTATTTTAATGTTTCAAGTGATTACATTAATAAAACATTTACATCATTTTTATAATGACGCTTAGTAAAATAACACAGTGATGTATATGGGTATCGACTGTCATTTTGAACCTCACCTTAAATATTTCAATGTCGCAGATCAAAAATTATTGATAAGTCAGTACTCGGTATTTAAGCAGAGCTCAGATGACAACTTCAGAAATCAGGAACCCAAAATGCATTGATATGTAGCGTATTAACACACTTTGGGGGTCAATTTCTCGATTATGACCAAACATTGCGTTTGACCCTAAAGTGTGATGTGAATTCTATTTGAAATTTTCAAGAGATTGGGGAATTTTTAGGACCGATCTGGGGAAAGAAGACGCAAGTTTGGCTGGGGAAGCAGCCGGTATTCGGCCTCTAAAAGCTTCTAAAAATAAGGATTTTTTTGGCCGTGGGAACTAAACTTGTTATTCCTGTACATTATTATATGCACACCACTAACTAACATTATTGAAAGTTTTTCACTTGAGACTTGGACATCTGTGATAAATTTTGGGACAACTCTAATTTGCCAAGTAAGTTGTCCTGGACAACTCTGTCAAGAAAAAAATTGTAGAGCCCTGTGTTATTATTTATTATTGAGAACAATACCGTATTCTGTTAGACGAGTATCTTAATCGAATGTGACCCAAGCAAGACGGTGGAAGCGTGGTGTTGAAAATGCAATGGTTAGGTAATGAATCCCATGATAAAAAATCACGACGGTACGCTGGCACGATGGTTATATTATAATGCGTTTTCATTAAACATTCGTAGGACCGTGTTTAGCATTTTTATTATCGATGCTAGGTTAGCAAGTAACGAAACATTATTAAATATGTATGGTAACAAAACACTGATACCTACTTTGAGTATTGTTAATTATTATTTCATTACACCATGGCATGGACACAGGGTCTTTCAAATAGAATATTTGAAAAACCCTGATGGAACATTCCTATTAAAACTTGAGTAGTAACTGGCTTATTAGAAATAACAAACGTTGTTGTTTTTTTTTTAATTGAATTTAGCTATTAACGTCGGTGACATGTTACAAATTATTCCCGTTTAAAAGATCAACGATATTTCATAAATTGATTATTATCGTCAGGTACCTTAATTATTTATGTTTTAAACCAAAACATCACGCCTTCACTTTAATGATATTTATGAAAAATAAACTTGTTAAGAAAATGTACATTGTCAAGTACATTGTATAAATTATAATTACAGTGCCACAAAACGAGAGTTTATATTTTTCGTTAGCTGTCACCCCGAAAGGCAGAAATCAGCCTCCACACTAACACAACCTGCATGTTTCCCGAACCGAAAGTTTGTGTTATTATGCAATAGCCGCCCTCGTGATATAATTTCTCGCATCCGAACTCCATATTGTGATTTTATTAAGCGATAAAATCACTTTTTGGGATATTTTATTTCTTAAGTAACATTTTATATCCATAGATAGGGGAATTTTTTAAAGATTGCACGGAAAATGTAATAAATTGTGTGAACCTTTAATAAAGTCGAAGATTTCAGATAAAAATGATATTATGTTGACATTTAAAAGATGCAAAAATGTTAAAAAAATGTTTATTACTTATATAAAAAGGCAAACAGAATATATCAATTAATCATATTACAAAAACATTTACATGAAAATGAATTTTTTTAATTGAAATTGATAATGATGATAATTTAAATTTGAACAGTCTGTGTAAAATAAAAAATGAAAAGATTCCATATAAATATAATTATTTAATTAATCAGTAAAACATAAGTTTACTACTCCCACTAGCAGAATTTGTTGGTTATTATAGTAGAATCTGTTGGCCAGAAAATTGCTGACCACTAATATTAAAAATATAGAGAAAGTTATGTTTAGATAAAAATTTATTTTTTATACAAAGTTAGAAAATATAATGAATTCTTCATCTTACAAAACAATAAAACCACTGATGACCAATCAAAAATCAATTACTTAAATGATTTTAACAGTATTTTTTTTATAGTGAAAAATGCTGACCAGTTAGAATTATTAATGAACTATATTTGGATTTATAGAGAAAACTTATTTATCATATACATGTACTTATAAATGAAATATTGAGAAATATTAATGAAATGAAATGCGTATTTTCATTTTCCGTATTTTCACTATAAATAGTTATTCTTTAGTGAAGTGAAACATATTTTCCGTATTTTCACCGCTGTCTTGTCGGCCTACTTTCTTCTAAATTTAGCCAATACAAAATTTAAGGGCAAATCTTTCAAATTGTAATGTCAAAAGGAAAAAAATAATACCGCAACTCAATATTTATTTTCATACCACTCGATTATAGCTACAATATATTTTTGCAAGTAGGTTATGCGTGTCGTTCGGTCATTTTATGTTCAGCGCCGCGGAACTTTACCGCTGATTTTGTCGTATTGCCGATGAGAACAGGTCTACGGAATGTATTTTCTATATTTGCACTTATATGTATCAATCTTCTCCATTAAAAAACTTAAAACTTTCAAAATCGAGTTACATATGAAAATTTAGGTCAGATTATCGCATCGAATTTTCAACAGACTAGAGACATGGCATCTTAACATACCTTCATACTAAAGTGTGATTTTTATTTGATAATGAATTGCCTGAAAACTTAAACAAAAGTTTTCAGAAAATGACTTCACAGAGGATTACCCCCTGTTTACATTGAAAATTTCTCTGCTAGCCATACCGAAATAAGAAATTTAAATGTTATTCTCTTTATAATTAATTCAAATATTTATAATCTTAAAACTTCACGCAAGAAGTTAATAAAAAAGCTGCTTATTTGTACAGCTGACGTTAACAAATTTTGTTGAAAAAAACAAAACAACAACAAATCAGACAGGTGTGTCCGACCGAGGCCGAGTTGTTTATGTTTACTGAATTCAAATCACTTGAACTGAACTGCTATGAATTCGAAAACCACCAGGGACTTTTTATTCTTTCGTGTAGAAAACCTATCAAGCTAGTTTCAAAATGTCGATGGTTCTCTGCAGGTGCAACATTTTGCCTGAAAATAATGCACAAAGGCGCACCTGAGGTCCTCGCCCCTAGTAAAGCTAATGTGTAGAGTGAAAGTTTGAAAACAAACTACAAAAAAGCAGTCATTACCCAGAACATGCAGAACCACAGTTAACTTAGAGTGTAGTTAGCCAACATGAATTCAAGTTAATAGATTTCTACCTTTTTTTTGCGAAAAAATTAGGGATAATATAAAAACATACAGGAAAATATAAGAAATTATATCAGATATTATGATCAATTAGGTAACATGTTCATGTTTAACTGAAAAGTAGCTTCCGCAATGTAAACTTTCGAATTAAATGTTATATTGGACATGACACAATGTATTCTAAATAATCAAAAGCAACAGAACATTGCTATACACCGCGAATGATCTGGGTTTTTTTATCTAGCGCAAGTGATTATTCCATAAAATAGAAACATATTGCCAAAATTATCCATGTTGAAAAGACTGCCAAAAATACAACTGCGTCGTATCATATTTTATTTTCAACTGCGTCGTATCATTTCGTAAAAATCATTATCACACACCCGTGCCGATTTTGCGACTCCGTAAATATGGTATTGCACGGCCGTGCATATATTTTGACGTGACGTCATTAGCGTTATACAAACATAGTGTAAAGACGCGCTAAATGTTAGCGTTATACTATAGGCGCGTCAAAGAACAATGACTCTATTTCACTTTAAACGGTCTTTAATCTTTATTTTGGGTATGTGATAAACAGAATATTAAATTCGTGTAAGTTCATTACTGAATTTATTGCACTCGTTGAATAAAATAATATTATGCTCGCCAGAGGCTCGCATAATATAATTTTATTCAACTCGTGCAATAAATTCAGTATTGAACTTACACTCATTCAATATCCTCTATTTATTTTCTTAGAAAATAAACATCTCTTTTTAATGAAATTTTAGTAAATGATGCAAAATTATATTTCGAAGTTTATGGTGATATTATCTCTGAAACAAATAATTGATTCGAAGAAAAAAAAGATAGCTAAAGCAATATGAACTTCATAAAAATTCTGCTCCGCTTCGAGTTGCAAGTTCGCTATAACTTTTGTTTTACAAAATAGTTGTGCAAGCAACATATACTGAACGGAGCGGCAAATAGTGTAGCGTGTTAATACATTATATCTGGTTTTCTGTCATTTCCGACAAAAAAGTTATAAACAAAAACATTCATTTTTCGTTCTAAGATGTTTACATTTTGTAGGATACGACGCAGTTTTGATTTCCAGCCCTGATATTGAAGCTTTAAGTGAAATCTCTACTTAGTCAGAAAAGATTTTATCTATTTTCAAGCATTGCTACCTCACATCAAACATTTTCAACCTACTATGTAATATTTATCAACTTATTAATTCTTTTGGGATTCATTATTTTCATGTGTCATTCCAATTCGTTAAATACACTGTATTTAATTAATTTATCTCAAAACGTAAAATAAAGAGAAAAGCGCCAATTTTCACAATACATCACGATAAATAATGCGAGAGTCATTTGAACCCCTGTCACACTAGGACGACGTTCTCAAGGCGTCCAAACAATTCAGAACGCCAAAAATATGATAAATAAGATCGACAAGGAAAGGCGGCGTTCAATGAACGCAGCCCCACCCGACCCAGTAACAAGCGCCAGTGGCAGGAGCCCAGAAGGATCCCAAACAAAAACAGGACAGGGCAAAAGGCAGAGCACAGGCAGGCAAATCACTACATAAGAATAAATGATTAGTAACTGATAAGGAACTAAAAGAAAACAAATAAATGATTGATTATTAGGCCCATAAAGTCAAAAGGCACAGGGGAAGGGGACATGAGACCCGGGGAAGGGGGGGGATAAATAAAATAAATAAAAACTAGGGGCAAAGGGGAAGATACTTACCGTAGACGAGAAACAACAAAAGACACAAAAGTGTCACCATAACAGTATAAAACAACATAGACAAGATGAGCGCAATAAGATCGCAAATATCGCCGTAGCATCGTAGTGGCATCGATAGAACGCCGACCGACGGCGCTGGTTTTGAGCATGCTAAAAACAAACGCCGTCACTCGTCGTTCTGATATAATAATAAGAGCGCAGTGAGATTGCAGTAAGGACACCCTAGGAACTCGGTAGCATCGCCTACAACGCAACAGGAACGCAGTGAAAGCGCAGATGGAGCGCCAAATGAACGCGGTGGTTATCAACGGCGCTTATACGGAGATTGTGCGGCCTCTCTATCGCGCTTATACTACGTGTGCACAACGCTTTTACTGAGCTTTACGATTTCAGAGCAGTGTGAGTACCGCGAGAGCGCGGAGTAAGCACCGTGGAAGCGCAAAGAACGCAGTAGAAGTGCAGTTCGAACGCAGACAATCGCCAATTAAAACGCCGTGGAAGTTGTCATCATTCTGACATGTCCTTAAATGTTATGATCTACCAAAAGGTGACTTATAAATTTTGAATTCAGTAATTCACTGAATGATAGTAAATATGTATGCAAGTTGATATTTGTGATGTTAACTATTTTTATGCAAAGAAGGCCAATGTGACCATTAAATGAATCATGGAGAAAAAGAAAGTGTTGCTACCAATTTGGAAAATGAACCGCAGTAACATAACACCCCTACCCCCACACACACACAAATTAAATAAGTTAACTTAATAAGTATACAACGTATATAAAGCAATAAAATGTTCTTATTTTATTTCAAAATATTTTTTTAAATAATTGGAATTAAAGTTGCAGATGATTTTCGAGCCAGTTTGAAGATCGGAAATAATTTTTTTAGCAATTTTGAAAGCCCAGGGTTGAATTACGCACACTGCCTACTGGAAAAACGAAGTTTGATAACATTTCATAGCCAAACTTGATCTAGTTAAAATGTATATCGGAATCAAAAAAAAAAAGAAATTACCTTTTATTGTACATGTGATTGATTCTTTTGACCAAGTTCCTTCAACACATTGCCTCGTTGTGAAGGTACCAAGATTTTCAAAACCAAAGTCACAAGTATATGATGCGGTTGCTCCATCAATAGTTACCGGTGCTGACACGGAACCGTTGTCAATAGACGGCGCTTCTCCACAATTTGCTGCCAATGTTAGTATGATATATAAGTAAGTAGTAAATGTGCTTCCAAATATAATAGAACAACAAAAGAAAACCAAGAAACAAGTAGTATCTTTGAAAAAAATACTCGGCGAAGTAAAACTGGTCAGCATGCAAAATTATTTTATATCTATATTTTCAATACAAAATGAAATGTTAGCAGTGCTTGCATAACAATGATATAATAATTACTTCTTGTAGCTAAAGATATGCCAACTTTGTAAACATTGAAATTAAATTATAGCGTATTTTTGTTGATGAGTTTTCAAAGTGAACAACTTCTATTTTAATTGTTTTTTTAACTTGTTTTACGTTAGACTTTTAAATTTTGTAATCATTTACAAATTAACTAAAAAGATGAAGAACTATCCTCATTTTTGTACATTTTATTTTAGAACTAACCCTTACATTTTATTTTAGAGCTATCCTTAAAATTTCATTTCAGACTAGTAAGAACTATCCTTTAATATTTTATTTTAGAATGGTTAGAACTGTCCTTTACATTTTATTTAAGAATGGCCAATGAGATTCAACGATTTCAGTTTGCAATTTTAAAATATGTAATGAAAATTCTTTTTGTATTCAGCCCTTCCCTGTTAATTTCACAGTAAGTCCACCTGATAACCAATCGAAATAAAAAAGCGTCAGTTTCTAAATCTCACCTTTGTCTGCACATTGGAAGTCATGCTTTCCGAGTGGTCGGCAAAATTGATGATCACCACAGTTCTCTTGTGAACAACCACTTGTCATTAACTGGTAAAATGAGAGACAAAATGTACCGAAACTGATCATGGTTTTATCATGTTCCCTACACATCATGTTAACTTAGAGTCAAGCCCTATTGATGACAAAAATCTTACAAAAATACTTAATTCATTCAATGAGAGAAGTTGTATTGTGCCTCGCTGATATCGTTACGGCGACATTCATATCATCAACACTGACTTTTCTAAGGACTAAAAACATACTGCCACACTTATATCAAAGACATCTTTCAAATTCTGCCACACTTATATCATCAAGAATGTCTCTCATATACTACCGCACTTATGCCATCAAGGAAGACTCTCATATACTGTCAATCTTATATCATCAATGATGACAATCATATACTGTCACACTTATATCATCAACGACGACTCTCATATACTACCACACTTATATCATCAAGGACGACTCTGATATACTGTCACACTTATATTATCAACGACGACTCTCATGTACTTTCACACTTATATCATCAATGATGACAATCATATACTGTCACACTTATATCATCAAGGACGACTCTCATATACTGCCACACTTATATCATCAAGGACGACTCTCATATACTGCCACACTTATATCATCAAGGACGACAATCACTATACTGCCACACTTATACCATAAAGGACGACTCTCATATACAGTCACACGTATATCATTGAGGACGAAAATCATATACTGCCACACTTATATCATAAAGGACGACTATCATATACTGTCACATTTTTATAATCAAGGACGACTCTCATATACTGCCACACTTATATCATAAAGAACGACTCTCATATACTGCCAAACTTATATCATCAAGGACGACTCTCATATACTGTCACACTTATATCATAAAGAACGACTCTCATATACTTCCACACTTATATCATCAAGGACGACTCTCATATACTATCACACTTATATCATAAAGGACGACAATCATATACTGCCACACTTATATCATCATGGACGACTCTCATAAACTGCCAAACTTATATCATAAAGGACGACTCTCATGTACTACCACACTTATATCATCAAGGACGACAATCATATACTGTCACACTTATATCATCAAGGACGACTCTCATGTACTACCACACTTATATCATCAAGGACGACAATGATATACTGCCACACTTATATCATAAAGAACGACTATCATATACTGCCAAACTTATATCATAAAGGACGACTCTCATATACTGTCACACTTATATCATAAAGAACGATTCTCATATACTTCCACACTTATATCATCAAGGACGACTCTCATATACTGTCACACTTATATCATAAAGGACGACTATCATATACTGCCACACTTATATCATCAAGGACGACTCTCATGTACTGTCACACTTATATCATAAAGGACGACTATCATATACTGCCACACTTATATCATCAAGGACGACTCTCATATACTGTCACACTTATATCATAAAGAACGATTCTCATATACTTCCACACTTATATCATCAAGGACGACTCTCATATACTGTCACACTTATATCATAAAGGACGACTATCATATACTGCCACACTTATATCATCAAGGACGACAATCATATACTGTCACACTTATATCATCAAGGACGACTCTCATGTACTGTCACACTTATATCATAAAGGACAACTATCATATACTGCCACACTTATATCATCAAGGACGACAATCATATACTGTCACACTTATATATCATCAAGGACGACTCTCATATACTGTCACACTTATATCATAAAGGACGACTATCATATACTGCCACACTTATATCATCAAGGACGACAATCATATACTGTCACACTTATATCATCAAGGACGACTCTCATTTACTGTCACACTTATATCATAAAGGACGACAATCATATACTGTCACACTTATATCATCAAGTACGACAATCATATACTGTCACACTTATATCATGAAGGACGACCATCATATACTGTCACACTTATACCATCAAGGACGACAATAATATACTGTCACACTTATATCATCAAGGACGACTCTCATATACTGCCACACTTATATCATGAAGGACGACCATCATATACTGTCACACTTATATCATCAAGGACGACTCTCATGTACTGCCAAACTTATATCATAAAGGACGACTAAAATATACTTTCACACTTATATCATCAAGGACGACTCTCATATACTGTCACACTTATATCATCAAGGACGACAATCATATACTGTCACACTTATATCATAAAGGACGACAATCATATACTGTCACACTTATATCATCAAGGACGACAACCATATACTGCCACACTTATATCATGAAGGACGACCATCATATACTGTCTCACTTATACCATCAAGGACGACAATAATATACTGTCACACTTATATCATCAAGGACGACTCTCATATACTGTCAGACTTATATCATCAAGGACGACAATCATATACTGCCACACTTATATCATCAAGGACGACTCTCATATACTGCAACATTTATATCATAAAGGACGACAATCATATACTGTCACACTTATATCATCAAGGACGACTCTCATATACTGTCACACTTATATCATCAATGACGACAATCATATACTGTCACATTTATATCATCAAGGACGACAATCATATACTGTCACACTTATATCATCAAGGACGACAATCATATACTGCCACACTTATATCATCAAGGACGACCATCATATACTGTCACACTTATACCATCAAGGACGACTCTCATATACTGTCAGACTCATATCATCAAAGGACGACAATCATATACTGTCACACTTATACCATCAAGGACGACAATCATATACTGTCACAATTATTTCATCAAGGGCGACTCTCATATACTGTCACACTTATATCATAAAGGACAACTATCATATACTGTCACCCTTATATCATCAAGGGCGACTCTCATATACTTTCACACTTATATCATCAATGATGACAATCATATACTGTCACACTTATATCATCAACGACGACTCTCATATACTGCAAAATTTAATTCAATCAAGTACGACTCTGATATACTGCCACACTTATATTATCAACGACGACTCTCATATACTTTCACACTTATATCATCAATGATGACAATCATATACTGTCACACTTATATCATCAACGACGACTCTCATATACTGCCAATTTTATATCATCAAGTACGACTCTGATATACTGTCACACTTATATTATCAACGACGACTCTCATATACTACCACACTAATATCATCAAGGACGGCTCTCATATACTGTCACACTTATATCATCAAGGACGACTCTCATATTATGTCACACTTATATCATCAACGACGACTCTCATATACTGCCAATTTTATTTCATCAAGTACGACTCTGATATACTGTCACACTTATATTATCAACGACGACTCTCATATACTACCACACTAATATCCATCAAGGACGACTCTCATATACTGTCACACTTATATCATCAAGGACGACTCTCATATTCTGTCACACTTATATCATCAAGGATGACAATCATATACAGTCACACTTATATCATCAAGGACGACTCTCATATACTGTCACACTTATATCATCAAAGACGACTCTCATATTCTGTCACACTTATATCATCAAGGATGACAATCATATACTGTCACACTTATATCATCAAGGATGACAATCATATACAGTCACACTTATATCATCAAGGATGACAATCATATACTGTCACACTTATATCATCAAGGATGACAATCATATACTGTCACACTTATATCATCAAGGATGACAATCATATACAGTCACACTTATATCATCAAGGACGACTCTCATATACTTTCACACTTATATCATCAAGGATGACAATCATATACTACCAAACTTATATCATAAAGGGCGTATTCATCTTCCATTTTTATCAAATTATTAATATAATTTCGTACACACATTTACACTAATATTTCGCACACTCGCCTACGTGACCGAGTGGTTTATAGATAATCACTTGAACCTCTTTATCGCTTGTTCGAATCCCGCCAGGGAATATCTAGTTCGGTGGTTCTACACGGATGCCCTTTTGTGACTAAAATAATGCACTCGGATTGGCTTGAAGGGATTCATGACAAGTTTCAAAGTCGCCACGTGACATTTACAGTCCCGGCGTGACATAGAAACCGAATAAAAATGCTATCACCAAAAAACACAAACCTTTGGCCACTCAGTCATATCAGAAAATATGTATCCTCCGCTGTCTTCAAACTCGGAGTCCTCCGCGGTATCAACACCTTTGGCGTTCAGTTCACATGTTTTACTTTTCTTGTTGAAATTTATAGACTTACATGACCCGCCAAAACCAAAACACGCGCGCGCACAATCATGGTGACTTTGAACGGTTAGTTCAAGAAATGTACATGACACAAGACGTTTGTTTAAATTTTCCCGTTTCAAATGAAAGTCTTGAATGGTAGTGGCCAATATGCAGTCAATGAAACATATATTCAGAATCCAAAATATAATGTTACACATAAAAAATTCCATTTTCAAAATTGCACAAAATATTTACAATAATCCCGACTGTATTCGTAAAGTCCATGTGCTGGTGAATTGAATATATATGATTTTCATTCCACTTATCGCGCATCGGAAAAATCAAAGAGTCAAGATAACCGTAGAGAATAACTAAGAATTAATAACTTGTAATTGTCAGTGTGTGCCTAAAAGTATTTACATGCGTTAAAGTGAATTTAATCTTTTTCTTCTTCTTCTTCTTCTTCTTCTTCTTCTTCTTCTTCTTCTTCTTCTTCTTCTTCTTCTTCTTCTTCTTAAATGTATGTTCCAAAATAATATTTACTCGTCAATAATCATTAAAAGAATGATGGATTATTTTGAAGAAAAAACAAAACAAAAGAAAAAAAATTCCTCTCCAATATATAATGTCACTATAAAATACAGTTTGACTTAAATGATGTGGAACGAAAACAAAACAAAACATGACTGAATATTGAACTACATTCAGCTTTGAGTTTATTGAGTAAACTATGAAAAATAGTTTTGAAGTAGTCTGTAGTATTCTCATTATTTAATGATAGAACAGTGTAACAACTAAGGACGTGCGCTCTAGTGAAAGAGTAAATCATCCCAAAATAGCCTCTAAGGGAGCCAGAACGTGAGGTTGTTTAAGCAGAGATATTTATGATGTTGAAGGAATCAATAAATACTTTACTTATTATTATAATTACTTTATTATTGCGTGGCATCATGCTTCACTCTTTATCAATGAACGTTATAATTATTAATGAACTTAAAAGTCTATGGCCAAGAATAAACATGTTTTTTCTGTTGTCCTTATGATTTACAAGGTGTTTTTTTCCGTAACGCGGTCGGTAATTTCTGTCGCCCTTTTCACTAATGATGTAGATAGAATATCCCTATCTAATTTTGTTGACAAATATGTCAGTTCTACTCGTGTGCAAATATTTATCGCTAATACATCAAAATATCTTTTGTATTGTGTTATTTGATGTTTTACAAGTTTTTGTTATAAAACGATTTTCGAATCATTCAATGCATGAAATTCCATACATAATAACGTACGTACTTCAACGTCCCGTGAAGTGTCATAAATATAGGACAATGGTAATTGATAATTAGGAGTTTTCATAATATCCTAGTTATCGGACTGAAGACAAACATATTAGCCTGACGTCTGCTTGTCTTAACAAACCATCATAATATTTTAACCCGTATCCTGTAGAGCAGGTCACCATAACGAGATTGTTACCAGACAAGATGGTAACTCGGCGTTCGGTCAAGCGCCAATCTGATTGAAATTCTTACAATGATGACTTATGAATTTTGAAGTCATTTTCATAAATAAAAAAAAATTAAGCAGATTTCTCTTATTTTGTTACATTTTTAACATGATGTATGGTGACATCGACTTTCTTTTCCTAAAGAAGCAAAATTTACGCATGAAAGCATGTCTGCCAGTTATTCCATTTAGTTTTGATTTTCTTTTCATCCGCATTCAGATATAGTCCGGCTACAGTGAAAATTATATTTCATAAATTTCACTAGTGGTTTATCAGAATATAATCATCTGATATTTTACAATAAAACACTGGAAAGCATGAAATAAAGGCATGTTTTTCTGTTGTCAATAGATTTTGACACGTAGATTACAATAAACATGTTATAATAATAATATCTGTCATATGTTGCGGTTCGGACCGGAATATCTGTCCCGAGGGGACCCGCCCATTGGGCAGTAACGAGGCTTGTCATGGGCTGCTTCCCGAGGGACGGATATTGCAGATTTAAATGGTCTTGAGCAGTGAGAGAAGAACTTACATCAAATAAAGAATTTGTATCCATTATTAAGCTTAAAATATATTTTTCTCAATTTTCCATTTATTATCAAATAATGTTCACTTTTTATTTACTCCATTGTTTTTAGCTAATTGCATTTATTTACACATTTTATAGAAATGTGACAGACTTAGCATAGACAAAGTCATAAATTCTGGGAAATCTTAGTAAGACATTTCAGTAAAAATAATGCCTGATGATATGCTGAAAGAGCTATTTATTTAGCTAAATGTGATTTGCTAAATGTGACATATAAGAAACTTGACTCAGTAGGTGTAAATGCGGCTTAAAGTAGAAGTCCGTACAGGCAGTACAAAAAATATCATAAATTATTTAAGTAGTCGAACATTAAGAGCGGAGCTTCAGAATAATGTAAAATTCTCACTGGGGGTATAGAGGGGATTGTAGGGTATCGAACCCCCGAGGCTTAAAAATAACGTCTGAAAGGCTGATTATGCTTATATTTGTTTTTCTTAAAAGCTTATTTATTTTGATGTTCTTCTATAATATCCAAAAAGTACACATTGGCCAATTACCTGAACCATCTAACCATCTTTTTCATCTGTTGCTTTTTGGCAATGATGAGTAAAGTTAAAGTGAATTAGTATTTTATATTGAAGTCAAATACTACATTATTTTGACTACTTTTATGACAAATAATTTCATATTTATCGCTACTTTATTCAGGTAACAAGCATATTACATTTCTCTGATACCATTATTTTAACATTGGAAAATTCATGTTTGCTCTTTCTAGAGATTTAGTATGACTAAAAAAGCCTCTGGTGAACGGTTGTTCCGGAGCTTACAAAAAAACCTTAATTTTAAGTTATTTTTAGTCCGATCGAAAAACCTTTTATCATCAGAACATTGCAATAAAGTAAATTTATAGTTCTTTGAAAAAAGAAATATTAACTGCATTTTATTTCATCCCCATTATATTTAAAAATGAGGCTCAATATGGCACCAAAAGTTATCAAGTAAATGACTGACAGAACAAGATATTTTTCGCAGCATCTTTTAATTTTAGGAATACATTCATAATTTATGTACTATTATAGTACTTTGTTATATGAACACAGTTTTTAGATATTTCAAGTGGTAAAATTAATGAAACTTTTATCACGTAAGCATCAAACAAAGTATCGACCGCCATCTTGAACTCCACCTAAAATATTTCAATGTAGCAGATCGGAAATAAGTCAGTACTCAGTATTTAAGCAGAACTCAGATGACACCTTTAGACCTCTGCAACCAAAAGTGAGTTTATATGTAGCATATTAACGCACTTAGAGGTGTATAGCTTGATTTTGACCCCAAAGTGCGTTGGACCCCAAAGTGCGATGCGAAGTTTAACGCACTTTGGGGTAGGACCCCAAAGTGCGTTGGACCCCCAAAGTGCGATGTTACAAAGCTACACTGTAAAAAATGGTAACGCCTGACGCGTTCCACAGGTGTTTGTTAACAAAACGTATGTGTTCTCGTTGTGTGCAGTATAAAAACACATGCGTTTCTTTATGGAACGGGTGTTTATAACTAAAACAGTAATGTGCAGTGTTTAAACGGTTGGTGTTTACATTGGCATGCCTGTGTGCAAACATGAAACGTTTGTGTTTACTTTTATGTCATAAGCTCATCTCGTGTTTTGATTATTAATAACAAACAAAACAGAAACATAACAGTAAACAGAAACATAACAGTAAGGATAAGACAATACGAATGTTTAGAAATGTTTAATGAGAAAGTGTCTCTGTATTAAACGCCGGTGTTTCAGGGGCGAACATTCTGCGTATGTCATGAGTGCCGATCAAGAACACCTTCTGATATTATCCGAGGTGTTACGAATTTAACTTCCTTTCTCCTGCTGCAGCCGAATTTTTTGGCGCAAATTTTACCTTTCTTCATTTTGCGTGAATTTAGCAAGGAAAACATAGAAAAAACAACAGCAAAAGGTAAGTACGATGTACTTATGTATTTGTAGATCAAATTCAAAGAGTGAAAAGGCAGATCTTTTTAAGACGGGCGCAATAGAGCATTTTCATTAACCATAAAACTGATTTCCCCACCCACTTTGTTATTTCAAGAATCATATAGATCTAGAGAATAACGTGCTACTGTCTTTTGATATTAATTTTATCAGGCGAGGCTGATAAGGACTAGAAAGGGCGAGGCTTGCCGGCAAAGTAAAGATAACAAGAAAATCGTCTAGCCTGTTTGTTATGATTACATGTATAGTATGACATGAACATTGATGATGTCATTTGCAATGTAAATTATGACGTCACTTCATTTAGTTGGTGTTAAAACTATTCGCTATCTAATTAATTCGTAATCGAAATTGAAATAATAAATAAATAAATAAATATCGCATCTTGATTCAAGACTTGTATAAGGGTATGAGATTACATTGTAGAATTCACATGCTGATGAAAATGAGAATATAAGCAATTGAAAAAAATCCGTTAAAAATGGGCGTGACTTATTCATATGAAGTTTTGCACCTTTCTGTTAGGTCTAGCCTAGTCTGTTCATAATTTTGCTTTCAGGATGACTTTAATGTTGCAGTGCTGAAGGCTTTAGAATCAGAAACAGCTTACAGAAAAGGAAAGGGCCAGAAGACTCAGCCTTTGATGCAAATAATTATGGTAAGGGTGTTAGGTATTCAAAACTTTTAATGTCCTAAAACTTCTTTTTTATGTGACCAGCTGTGATTCAGTGATTGACATGTCTGTACATCTGTGTACATATTTTACATCAACACTTTTTAGGGAATATACCTTAACATCTTATTTCCATAATTATCAGCATGTCATATTTGGCATGCACACTTGTTTGATAAATAATTAATGCGAGTTTTATTTCAAAACTGATTTATGTAGGTAAACTATTCTAACAAAGAATACATTTCCATGGTAGTTGTCACTTGATGATAACGCTAAAAATGCTTTTAACATTCAATTTGAATAATATCTAAGGCTTATACAAATGCTAACAGTTTGTTCTTTTAAAAAACTGATGCATAAAAATTATCGATATTTGTTTCAGCTTGAAGATGATGGGAATCTTGTGAGACTTCTTTCTTCTGCACCAGAGTCGGCACCAAAGTTGGTTGCAATTGAGAAAGATGAATGTATTGTGAACATGGCTATTGTTTGTGATGGTACACACATTCTTCTAAAGACAGCCGATTTAATAGGGGCCCTAGCTGTGTCGATTGATTTGTATTACCTTGCAGACCTAGATTATTCAAAGGCATATTCACAGGTTGGTTAAAACAAATTTTCAACAAATTTTAATTATTATGACTCACTTCTGTTTTTAATGCTAAATTTCTATTGATCAATTATGTAATATTGTAATAATAAATCACAAAATTTTGCTTGATGCGCATGCTCATTGAAAAATGGAGTCACTGGCATCACATTATAAAATGACATTTTGCACTATTCACACCACTGGTGAGAAGAGTGCTTCAAACTTCCTTCATAAAATTGCATTGACTTGTCATGTGTATGTGATTTGCCTATCAGACTTTTATGCTTGTTTTTGTTGATGTCAGTTTCAGTACACTAAGATCTCTTTTGCGAGTTATGAATCAAAACTTTATTTAAAGGAAAGAATCGAATTGATCTATCTCTAAGAAAATAAATATCCACACTTAACATTGTGCTTTCAGAACAAGAATGCTACTGCGTGTTTTCCAGTTTTATGTGATTTTGTGTTCTTAATCACAATTTCAAAAAACCTTTTCCTCAAAATTTGAATCATTACCATGTTTAATGAATAGGGATTTCTGCAATAACTTCTTATGCTAATATGCTACAATGAATAAAATATGTATGTATACACAGGTGCGTGGGTTACTTCAGCAAACTGAACTTCAGCACCAGTTTGATGGGCATAAGAGCTATGGATTTGTTCAATATTTAAAGAGAATGAACATGGAAATGGAGAGAAAAGAAAAGAAGCCAATGTGACTTAAGTGATCCAGCTATCATAAAAGGAAAAGTTGAACTTAAATTTCATTTGGATAATTATCAGTTTACACTTCCTCAGAAGTATGTTTTACTTAACTATAATCTTTTTTGAGAGTCGTTAATGATGCCTTTATATGTAACTATTCACACTCTTCATCATAAGTATTTTTGAAGAACTGATTTCATAAATTAGATGTGATATTTGCCAGCTGAAAACATTATTGAGGGGTGAACATCTCATCATATTTAATGACTAGTAAATCCATAATTGTTTTATCCTATGTTTTGTTACAAAGATAAATTGTTTCATTAACTGTAGATTTTTTTTGGTTTGCAAGTAAATTAAAAGTTACTAAGTACATACTTTTTTATTATATTTATTTATTTTATGTTTATCACAGACTGTACTTAATGATGATCATGAATTATTAATATATTGCTTCTGATCATCTATGCTAATTACAGAGGATGACTGTTGCACAATCCATTTATATAAATAGCACAATATTTCATGAAAAAACACACATATTTTATAAAAAGCGAATGATTTTAACCAATAGAAATCTGGCTATTTTAGTACAAATTAATAATTTTATATTTCTTGCAACAGATGTTTGATGATGTCATAATTTTTAGCTTGATTATTTAAAAAATGGTAAGGCAATAGCTTAGCAGCTGATTATAGCATTAGTGTTGCATGACACAATGTTAAGTTTTTTAGACAAAGAAAGGCAACCATGGACTTCTGATATTTATTTGGAACATCACCATTTTGTGTATGCAAATATAACTTTGTACATGTGTTAGATACGAAAATATTATTTACCAATACCCATTCAAGGTAATTATGCCTCATTTCGGAGTAAATGCATTGAGAATAGTGCAGGCATGTTGTCGCTCTAACAGCTCATTTCATGCTTGTGTTTAGCAAAGTTGTATTCTTGAATTATGTTAAATTAAAAATGAAAAAAAACTGTATAATGTTATAATAAATAAATTCCAAAAATACTTCATTAGCATTTTTTGTAGTTACAATATGCTGTACATGTATTTCCTTAGTTGTTTTGATCTTACCTGAACATATACAGTAAACACGTAATGCATTTGAAATTGAAATATGTGACATGTTTATCAGGAACACTTTGAAAGCAGCACATGTGGGTTTGGAAACATGTTGCAAGTTCCAGTTTGAAACACCAAACGTGTTTACTGTACATGTTCAGGTGTTCCCAAACTGTAACATAACAAGTGTTCTGCTATGAAACGTGTCACATGTTTCAGTTTGAAACACCAGGAAGCGTGTAAAACGGGAACATCTGTGCGTTTATTCGTGAACATGTGACGTGTTCCATTCTATAGTGTTTCCAAAGTGTAACAGGAAAAGTGTTTCGAAATGTGTTTAAAACTTAAACACCCGTTTTTACAGTGTACTTATGTACAAATAAGTATATATATATTTTTTTAGAACATTAACAAATGTAATTTTAGAATAGAAAAATTATCTATGTAAAAATCCGAGGTTGACCAAACTCCGCGCACTTGTCTGAATAGGGAAAGTAACCGCTAAAGAAAGTCTAAGAGTAGACAGGCATTATTATTTGCCTTGAATTTGAGTGAAGCAGATTGGAAATGTTCAGTAAAGGTTCCCGTCAAGTCCATGATAACTGTGGTCACCCCCTAATACTGTTCATTTTCTGTTGAAAAGGTGGTGATGATAGGGGTGTTGGTATTTTTGAGTATGTCCATCCATTAATGAGTATTCACTCGGCTTAAGGTTTCTGTTTCCTACCTTCTGATTTGGCGGAATTATTGGGTATACCTATAGGTGGTAGAGCCACTAACTTTTCGTAATCTAGCTGGACAGCTTCTTCACAAGCAAGAATACAATGTCTCTAGTGGTACTCTAACACACCAAGAATGCTAATTACTATGTAAGGGTCAGTTATTATCTATATTTATGTAGTACTGAAATCACGACGCGACACAAAAATTTAGGGTTCCAGGGCACGTTTCCAGATGGCGGTTCAATTAAGAAAGCAATCTATCTAAAATATATATGATTAAAATAATTAAAATAAAGGTAAAGAATCAGATTCGATACTGTTTCTATTCACCCTTTCCTTAGTTTTTTTCAGATAAAAGAAGCATTTAAGCATAAAACTATGTTTTGGAAAAAAAATTTGTTTTTTCTTCAGGAAATTACGTGCATGGCCGACCAAATGATTTTATCTTTTATTCACTGAATTCTCTTTTTAATGGGAAATTACCCGCATGGCCGACCAAATGATATCATTGGAAGAATATTACTGGTCACCAATTCATTAATTAAGGTGTAGTTTAACCAGTTTTCTTTTTTTATTCAGAAACTATTCCAGAGGGGAATTGTCTCTTATGGAGAAATAAATCTATCAAAAACACATTAATTATATGAATACTTTTAATTGTTGTAAGATGATATCATGACTAAATAAATCTACAACTAAATCAATAATAAATCGATTGATAAATAAATAAGTAAGTTTTATTTACTGGAATACTATACGAATAAGTATCAAATGGAATTTAATGAAATATTGAAAAGGCATTACAACGCGAAACAAAAACGTAATAAAGCGAGTAAAGGCGTGGTAGCGACTTAACGCGAATAAAAGCGTTCTGGCACGATTCAGAACTGTTCACAATTTAGGGGAGAGGATATGTAGGTCAGTCGATGGAACCACGGAACGGTATTTCGAGGGTTCCAGGTTCGAGTCTCGGTCAGGGTGCACATTTTTCTCACCCTCTGACAGTTATAACGCGAAACGAAATACGTAAGAATGAGAAATAAAGTAACGCAAAACAAAAAATGCAATTACGCTATAAATGCGAAAAAAGGGCGTTATAACGGAAAACAAAAGGCGTTATACGCCATTCGTCTCATGTCACACCTTTTTTCGCGTTGTTACGCCTTTATTCGCGTCACTACGCCTTTTGTTTCGCGTAATTCTCGTAATTACGCCTTTAATCGCGTAATAACGCCTTTACGCTTTTTAAATTTTATTTGATAGTTTTAGGCTTTCGTAGGAATACGATTCAAATCGAGTTAGCAATGTACGGTTCTTTGTATTAAGGCTATTGGGCGACTAACTACAGAATAAAGATTGCTGGTGTGTTTTTGCTTTATCGTTTTTTGTTTGTTTTTGTTTTTTGTTTGTTTATTTGTTTGTTTGTTTGTTTGTCGTTTGCGTTGTATCGAACTCAGAACATCCGTATTTGTGGCCAAAGAAATTGTGTTACCGCTAGGCCACAGCGCCCCTGCTGACGATTTAAACTGCTTTGACGACCATCGTTAATGATATATAGCTAGCTTTAAACACATTTTATCAACTAAATAAGTGGAAGATATTTCGCTCCTCTCACCACCAGAGTGAAATAAGATTTATTATAGAAGATTAAATCAATGAAAGACACAAAAGCTATTGAAATGTAAGATACTTGTTTGTATTCGGTAGATAAAGTTTCAAGGGTACCAGTCATTAAAAGTTTCTGTGGGAAAATAATGTCAACATATAAAAGTACTGCATAACAAAAGACTTAAGTAAAAGTTTAAGCTCCAAATCAAATCTGTTTGACTGTTACAATATGATGACACGATTCAAATGTTAACATAGTATTTCCATGATAATATGTCCGCAGTTCAATGACAGAAATCGAAAACATTGACCTTTATCCATATGTTTACATTTAATTAAAAGTGCTGTTAGAAATAACTGAATTTGTTATTAAATAGTCTTTTAAAAATGTACACGAAATGTGTTACATCTGATAGATAATACGTAGTATGTAAAAAAATCCGAGTAAAACTTGTATGCATATGCGCGCGTAAGTGCGCTTGGGTGTTTGACTGATCTGTGTGCGTGTGTGCGTGCGTGCGTGCTTGCTAAAAGAATTTAAAAGGTTACTACAAATAAACAGTATTGCACATGCACGAGAGTGGAATTAAAACACCTACTCTTTTCAAAGGAATAAAAACATTCCATTACATAAATATCCCATTACAGTATAAACAATAATCTGGAGAAAGTTCATCAATTTATCATTCAAAACACACGTCAATTGGAGCATTCGCCTTTTAAAATAACATTTTCTATTTAAGCTCGACTGTGTTGAAATCTGATTTGAACCACTTTCGGGTCCGTGTCTTAAAAGTTACCAGTACTGGTGTCATAAATTATGAAGAAACATTGCCGCCAAGCCAATAGGGCTCGAACCCACAATTCCTTTGTTGAGAGGCAGAAACGTTAACCGTGGCAATGGCCGGTTAACCTTTGTTTGCCAGTATTAAGCGGACCGTTCTTTATTGAACGACTTTATAATTGTTAATGAAATAAACGTTTACTTTTCAATATATTTTAAATAACAAAAGTATAATTCGAACATTTATAATCTAAATTAAATATATTAAAATGTATATCACAGTACAGAAAATATGATAATTATAATTTAAAACACCAAATTACACAGCGCAATATAAGCCATATTCCACAGTGCTGTGCAAGATTAGATTGATTTGGTGCGAGACAGCTGAGGCATTATTCGGGGCGTTTTCAATTAGATAACATAATACCTATACAAAAAGAGGGATTTGTTTAACTATAAATCTACTAGCTAGTATGTTTTAACCTTTGACCTACTGAATTCGCCCTGCTTTGAGTTTGGAACATTCCATTTGAAAGTTGAGGGTTTTCAATATGAAAATACGAAACCTAAGTTGCAACAAAGGGCCTGGTCGGACTGCACGAATATGCAGTCTGCCCTGGCTCGATATTGGTGGCAAAGGCTAATCACTCAAGTTTGATTCCAACAGGTTAACTGGGAAAGATGTTAAAATCTACTCAAAGTACACACCATACACATTGGCTACGGCAATAAGTGACGGGTTTCTGTAGGTATATGACGCAAAATTGTCCGTGTCCTTGTTCCAAATGCACCGACTGGCAATTTCTAGTCCCTGTCGTTTATTCTCCGTAATGATAACGTTACAAACGATTTTATAACGTGGAAATTCCATAGCCTTGACTTTGCTTTTAATATCAGCAGTCAGCTCGGTTGCAATAATCCGGCAACCGTCCGGTGTATATTTTACAGGTTTTAGCTTTCTTTCTAATGTTTCTTTAAGCATATTCTCCACTCGCGTTGGCATGAAAACTTGGCCATCTTCAGGTTCCGTCCTGTACGTGTTTTCAAGTTTTAAAGTAGGTTTAGCAATAACTTTCTCACTGCGCATGCTACTCTTTCGCGCCATCCTGTGCCATGCTCGCGTCGCCACAACCAGTTTGAAAAAGTTTATTTTTGGCGGCGGGCGGCCATTTCTGTCAGATCTCTGAGACGCTTGCTCACCACTTGGATGCGAACGCCTTGATGACACAGATACTTTTGATCCCTGAAATTGATGCTAAATTTTACATTTCTCATAACAAATCAAATTACTAGAAATTATTATTTGTGAAATAAATTCAGATACAGGGTTCAAGTTTATGGTAAGTTGTATGCCCTAAATTTTGAATATATTTTCCCAGGTTCAATTCAAACGTTACACATGAACATCAAGTTGACAAATTTCAAGTAAAAGATATTTGATATTGGAATTGAATTTCTAAATAATGACCAAAAAAGAAACAATTGTGCTGTTGCAAAAATGATCACCGTTAATTCAAAAGAATTTGACATGCAAAAAAGAAATAATACATGTTGTACTAAGAATATCTAGCTAGCTTAATTGCAAATTTGATTATGGCCCCTCTTGCCTGACCCAAAAGATGGGCAACTAACGTCTTCCGCCATCAATAAAGCTGGTACTTCGTCGTTGCGCCTTTAAACCAAACAGATAATACCAAACAAGAACGCTTGAAGAAATACGCGCAGACGACATTATTTACTATTCATTTACCTGTCTGCATAAAATCCTACGATCCGTACATCTATCTAGTGGCAATATCAGTTGATAAGACATTGTTATAAAATATACCCTTGTAACTTTGATGGCTTAATTTTGAAATTCAAACTTCATATGTAAGGATGAATTATTAGGCAAATCTGTTACTGTATTCAGAATATCCATCTGCAAGTTATACTTTAAAAGATTTTCAATTTTTTGTTTGAGCAACTCCTTTTCATTCTTTCATTGTAAAGTGCACTCGTATATAGAATTTAGTTTATAGAATTTATTTTCAAAAGGATGAAATTCGAATCACAAATATATCCTCTGCGCACACAGTAAGTAATAAAAAGAACTCTTCTTATTTACAGTAACACATATTTAAACTCGAATAAAATACGTATGTAAGTATCAGAATGCGTCTTTCATGATTAAAGTAAATAATTCTTTGAGGAAAATGTTTGCATTCACATTTTAAAATCCAGTCTATATAGGTCAACGACTTTGGCGGCACTTGTTAACTTCTTTATCAGAAACAAATAACGATTCTTCATCATTCAAATATAAAGATATAGCTAATAAATATACTGAACGGCAGCCTTTTTAAAGATAGGGGTCAAAAGGAGGTGTTTTATTGCAGTCAGGAAACGGGATTGTCTTATTGGAAAGAGTGGTGGGGACATTTCAAGTTCATGAATTAACGTTTTCATTTTCATGAATTCACGATTTAATTTTCATGAATTCACGATTTCATTTCCATGAATTCACGATTTCATTTTCACGAATTCACTATTTCAACTTCTTGAATTCACGATTTCAACTTCACGATTCCATTTTCATGTATTCATGATTTCAACTTCACGAATTCACGATTTCAACTTATGAATTAATATGATTTCAACTTCATGACTGTGAATTCGTGACATTGAAATAGTGAATACATGAAGTTGAAAATGTAAATTCATGAAGCGAAAATCGTGACTTCATGAAGTTCATGAACCTGAATTTGTGAATGCGCGAATTCCGTATGTTGAAAACGTGAATTCACGAAGTAAAAATTGTGACTTTATGAAGTT